CCCTGCAAAGATTCTTGTGCAGTTGTATAGATCCGCCGGGTGAGTGTGGACAACGAAGGCTTGCCTAAGCCATTTTCGTGCCGTCCCTTCTTATTTGATCACTTGCTATCTGAGCTCACTTACATCAGTTTGTCTGGCAGCCACAAATGCCATCTGGGTTTCTGTGTCCTTTGCGTGACCTGGTGACGATAACCGGAAGAAAGCCATGCTCTCACACAGCATTGCTTCAGATGCTTTAACCACTAAATTCCACGCACACACTCACACCATGTGGCTTCAGCAGCATTCCTAGCATCAAACCAGGGGCAAAGAATGTTTCCTTTTCATGGCTGAAATGTCTCTCTGGAGCACTCGAGCCAGGCACAGGCCTTGTTCGGATCCCTCTGCACAGAGGTGAATTTTAGCGTGACTTCAGGCCAGTCCCTTGACTCCCAAAGCCCCAGAGAACTGTGCTGCTGCAAAACAGAAACCTCGCTGAAACCCAGGTGATGCATCTGAAGCCGAGCTGCCCTGCAGAAAGGCTGCTGCTCGCCCTTCCAGACATCCCCACCCCTGCTCTGCACCAGCCGGTGTCCAAACCCTCTGCTTTGATAACAAAGACAGGAGAGATAAGTCACTAGCACGGCAGGATGGGTCTGAGGCTCAGCCGGAGATGGGGGCAGGGGGTGTTTTGGATAAGCCTGCAATTTTTTCTGGACACAGCCGCTTCTTCCCCAGAGTCAGGATTGTAAACAGCTCTGGGCTTGGAATGCCAGGTATTCTGGGCTCAACGCATAACATGCAGAGCAGTAATGTCACCTGGCTGACTGTGCGAGGAAAAAACAAAGCAGGCTCCTACGCACGCTCAGGAAGTGAGCCGGTGGGGTAAAGGTGGCTGGATCCACGGAACAAAGGCTGGGGTAGAGTTTCCCCGCTGTTGCTATCGTGGTGCAGACAGGCACTCTCGACACTGGTGGCTCCCATGCTGGAAGGAAAAATCTAGCGGACACAAGGCCCATGTTAGGGCTTGTCTCCATTTGGAAATTTACCATAACAGCTATTCCAGAATCAGAATGTCCCCATGTA